ATTGATGCCAGGGCTCCTCGATGCCACACATGGTCGAATGTTGCCCTCACGTCAACGTCAGTGCCTCTCACCTCAGAAATGTGCCCGACTTTGATTGACCAGGGAGTCAAGGATTATGGTGGCAGACATCAAGTGGATCCGTGGCTGTATCTTATTATAAGGCACAGGACAAGTAGGCCACTCTGCCCATTGGGTCTTCCCTGCCATTCAACAAGATCATGACTCTGATCCCCCTCCATCTCCCACCCTCCTGTCCTTTCCCCCTCGATTCCCCTTCCTGATTAAAAATCTCTATCTCAGCCTCGAATATCCTCAATGCCCCAGCTCCGACAGCACCCCCACCCGCAGTAAAGAACCCCACAGACTCACTCCCCCCTCCCTCGGAGAGAAGGAATTCCTCCCCATCTCTGTCTTCAATGGGCGACCCCCTCACTCTGAAGGGTGGAGCGGGGTTAAGGACTGAAACGGTTCTCCCCTCCTGTCCCTCAGCCCTATATTCCTGTGATTTCACCGTCTTTTGAAACAGTGTGTTTATTTAAACAAAAACATTTCCAGGCAGTGGAGCAGAGACATTCGTAATGCGAAGGCTTGAGCACGAGCTCAGGGCTGGTGCACAGATTGAAACCCCACCACAATAACCAGTGGAATTTACAGACAAGGAACGAAACAAACAGGAATTGCGAGCTGTCTCTGGGCTTAGGATCGACTCTCCTAAAACCCCAGCTGGTTCATTCATGTTGTTTATAGGGGGACAGAAACCTGCTGCCCTTATCCAATCTGGTCTACACCGACCTCCAGACCCACAGCGACATGGGGGACTCCTACAACTGAGGACTGGTCCAACTTGTCCATGCCAACCAGTTATGGGGAGGCGATGGCCTAGTGGTATTATTGCCAGATTGTTAATCCAGAGACCCCCAGGTAACGTTCTGGGGTTCGAATCCCACCACGGCAGATGGTGGAATTTGAATTCGCTAGATTCTTAATTCCAGATATTTAATGATGACCATGAATCTATTGCCAATTGTCAGGAAATTGTCATCTGGTTCACTATTGTCCTTTAGGGAAGGAAACTGCCATCTTCACCTGGTCTGGTCTATGTGTGACTCCAGACCC